GGCTGTTTATCTAATTGTGTGTCTGGAAATGTGTTTATTCAAGACAGCAGTCTTCTTACCCAGCCCCCCAAACCTCCTTCCCTCTGGCAACCAGCAGTCTAAACTCTCTATCATCTATTTTGCTCTTTAGATTCTACATATAAGTGAAATAATATGTTATTTGTTATAATATAGAATTAATAATATATGTAAAGATCTCAGAAATAAAAGTTACTTAAGACTGCTACTCATATAGTTTGAAAATCAGCTTCAAAAAGAGCTTTCTGATCCTTGTTTAAAAAATTGAAGTTTTCTAGGAAGACACAAAAACATTACAGCAATCATTAACATAAAATTCACAAAAGTCAGGATCCAATCACAAATACTAGACTTATGTGAAAGCAGGAACACGTCATCTTACTCAGGAGATGATTAACATAGATCTTGAAATAACAGTGATGATGGAATTATCAGGCGAAGACTTTAAAACATGTATATGTTTGTAGTGTGAGCCCTGATATTTGTGTTTGTTTTCAATCTTATTTTTTTATGCAAGTTACTGACTTAGGTTTTGGATGCCCAGATATCAATTTCAAAGAGGCATCCACTTCAAAGCCTATCACTATGGAAAACAGTATTGAGATTCCTCAAAAATGTAAAACTGGAACTGCTTTATGACCCAGAAATTCCACTTCTGGGTATATATCCGAAGAAATCCAAAAAAAAATTTAAAAAAAATGCACCTCTATGTTCATTACAGGGTTACTTACAATAACCAAGCTATGGAAGCCACTCAAGTGCCCATCAATAGATATGGGGATAAAAAAGTGGTGGTGCATATACACTGAGTGGCCAGATTATTATGACCACCCCATCAGTACAATGAAGTGAATTAGTTATGCAAGTAATAATAATAATAAAACCTTGAGAGTATTTGCTTAGGTCGTTTTCAATATTCAGTATTTTTGGAAGTGTCAATGAAGTACTGATGGGGTGGTCATAATAATCTGGCTGGTCATAATAATCTGGCCACTCGGTGTATACAACTAGTGACCCAGTGGACAGATTCGTGCATATTGAAAGGAAATTAATTAGAAGTTGGCCGGTGGGTCATGACTGGGCAAGATGGGCTGGACAAGACCTGGTGCCAACCTCCCATGGTCCCTCCCTGGCCTGCCACACATGGGTGGCACCATGGCTCAAAGGGCGTCTGCAGAGTGAGCAGGGTCCCTCTGGCAGGTGGGGTCCATTGGCCTGGCCTGCAGAAATCGGGCCAAAACCCACTCTCTGACTTCCTCCAGAGGGGTCCCGTAGAGCGAGAGGGCACTCTGCAAAGTTGGTGTCGTACAGGTTGTGGAACGCAAATGCAAGTGTGCAGTAAACCAGATTCAGGGCTAACAGTGCCCCAGCAACAATATAACCCATGGCCGAAGGTGGAATCACGTAGCCCTGTAAGGAATTGGGCTCCCTCCTCTCTGGTTTTGGGGTGCATCACCCTAGAACTGCCACTGCCAAGTTACTGTAGCACGGCAGTTATTGCGTTGAGCGTCTTCTCCCTGGTGGTCAGTGCACATCATAGTGGCCGTTTGGACGGTAGGAGGGACACATAGCATATTAGCCTTTTATATATATAGATGGGATACCATTCAGCCCTAAAAAAAATAAAATCTTACCATTTACAATAGCATGGATGGACCTAAAGGGTGTCATGCTAAGTAAATAAGTCAGACAAAGACAAATACCATATTATTGCACTTGTATGTAGAATTTAAAGAGCAAAATAAATGAGCAAACCAAATAAAAACAGGTTCATAGATCACACTGATGGTTGCCAGTGTGGAGGAGGTTCGGAGGGCTGGGTAAAAGGACTGCTCTCTTGAATCAACACATTGCCAGCCACACAATTAGATAAATAGCCAGGCTGCATCCCCTCATTGAGGCTTCTTGATCTTTGGCCCAGATGTGCTGTGTAATTTCAGGTCTTGTAATTAATAAACCTGTATCTCTTTAAACTTCCCTGTTGGTTATTGCCAAAGGGCATCTCGCGACCATGGAAACAACAAGGACTGGTCCATCCACAACACTGAATATTGGTAGGCTGAGATCAGTACAAAACAAGGTTCAATATAATTGAATGATTTAATAACAACACTAACCTTTTGAGGAGACAAATAAAATATTAAAAGTAATCAAATGGGATTTCTAGTGATTAAAATATAATATCAAATATGAACACATATTTTTTGAATGAGAATAATAGCAGATTATACACTGAAAAAGAAATGATAACTACACTTAAACATATTACAATATACACTACCCAAAACGAAGCCAGAGAGAAAGCAAAATACTAAATAAACACCATGAAAATAGTCTCAGTGATCTGTAGAACAATGACAAGCTACATACTGTACATTTAAATGTGTGTCCAAGTTGAAAAAAATGAACCACATGGGGCAGAGAAACCATTGGAATAGAAGTGGCCAAAATTTCTTCCAGCCAGTTGGTGTGGCTCAGTGGTTGAACGTGGACGTATGAACCAGGGGGTCACAGTTCAATTCCAGGTCAGTGCACGTGCCCTGACTGTGGGCTCAATCTCCATAGGGAGGGAGCAGGAGGCAGCTGATCAATGATTCTCTCTCATCATTGATGTTTCTGTCTCTCCCTCTCCATTCCTCTCTGAAATAATAAAAATATATTTGAAAAAAATTTCTTCCCAATTTATTTTCATTAAAAAAACTATACTCCTAAAGATATAAGGAGCTAAGACAATTCTAAGCAATATAAACAGAAAGGAAATTAAACCCAAGCACATCACAATTAAACTTTTGAAAAGCAGTGATAAAGAAAAATCCTTAAAAACAGATAAAGATGAAAGATACTTTATAATCAGCTGAAGAAAAGATTTATTTCTGATTTATTGGCAGATACAAGTCAAAAAAGACATTGTTTCATGGCAATCAAACATTGCATCAGTTTCTTAAGAAGTCAATTTCATTTACTCACACATTGTGTGTATGTGTGTATAATGTACCAGATTGTGACAAAGGCATATGTATAATTATGGTGTTTAGTGATATTGCATATTTATTTTTTTTAGTTAGACCCAGGTAAGAAATATTTTTTACTTTTCCTAATGGGATATTCTGAGAACAATTAACAGAAATCCAGGGTGCTCTCTCCCTCGGGTAATTACTTGCAATCCTTTTACCAGATTAAACTTTAACAAAATGAGTGTCAGGAGAGTAGAAAAATACTTAAATACGTTCTCCAACAACTGGTGATTAAAACAGTAGGAAGTCAAAGCAGACTCTCCACTCAGGTGAGTAGAAAACACTGGTTTGAAAATTTAAGCAAACAGCTTAAACTGAATTATCACCAAAGATCTTGAAGGGCATTATGCTCTGCAAAACTGTCTTTTTTCTTTGCACTATACACATCTGTCATGGATAGGAGTAATGGGCAGGACCGACCTGACACTCTGCCCTATACATTTACACCATCTTAGTTTTCCAATGAACTTACTGCTTCAGTCATCGATAGTAACAAGGGTTTTTGTCTATTTTTATTTATGAAGTGTCGTTTCTGTCCCGCTTTTCATTTCCTATCTATTCAGGGTGACTTTAATATAAAGGAAGCATTGTGCGTATAAAAATATATTCCAAAGACATAATGACTTTATTTGAATCCTGACTTCACCGTCTATTATCTGAGTGACCGAGGTTAATTTATTTCCCTCCATGTGCCTCATTTTCCGTGACTTTCAAATGGATATGGTTATACTGTACACTCCCTACAGTTATTGTGAGGGCCATATGAGTTAATATATGTAAAGTGCTCAGAACAGTGCTTAGCACACAACGCGTTCTTTATTGGTGCTTGATAGTCATTTGTATTCTTCTTTCCATGCCTCTCCACTAAGAGTTCATGAATAATCAGAATGACCAAGTCATTTGTATGCAAAGAGGGATATATGATTGGAAAATCATTAGAAGTGTTTCCATAGGCAGAAACAACAGATGTGCCAAATAAGGACTAAGATAGCAATAACAAAATCCTAAAATTTACATATCACGGCCTTAGATTTTGTATTGGGTAAATAAGCTGAACTTATAATGAAAAGTATTAA